AAGTGGGTCTGGCTTAAGTTTTGTGCTTGTTGAGCAGCCAAGTTTTGACGAGCCTTTTAAAAAACATAGAAATCGAACAATGTATATTCTTTGCCAATAAGATTGTGATAGCTGATAATTCTAAGAACAATTGCAATTCATTCTAAAAATTTATTTTTTAAAATTTAATTAATTTAAGAATAAAATCTTAGAAAAAAGGTAAATTGAATATCAAATAATAAATAAAAAGACTCGAGATAACTCAAGTCATTATCAAAATCTTTTGGAAAGGAAAAAAAATAGAGTTCAGTCTTGAATTAAATAAATATTGAGAGATGAAAATAAAAGAAAAAACATGAACTCAAAAAAAAAAAGAGGGCGGGAACAAGCAAGCCCAGACGAATTTTCTAAACTTGGATTAATCTTTCAAACTTATAGCCCATGAAATCCTAAATCAGGACTAAATAAAAATCATATCAAATAAAAAAATATCAATTAAAATGTTGGGAACCAAATATGGAAGATAAAAAAAGGGTGAAATTGAAAAAAAAACTCAAGCTCATGAATCATCTTAATTAAAAAAATAGTAATAAAAAGAACATGGATCAAATATGAAGAAACAACAAATTGAAAGGATGCTTTTATTTTTTGTAGGGTCAGTGTGGAGAACAAGGAGGAGAGAGGGGGGGGAAAGGTCGCATGTTCCAAACTAGTTGTTCATTTGTACCACGTATTGCACCTGGATGGAGGAGAAGTCGAGATGAATCTAACACTATCCTTGAAGCCATTGTATGACCACTGAAATGACATCTAATGTGCTGCTAAAGTCCCAAGAACATTTCACATGTTAGAGTGTGTTTTCCATGCTCAAGCTATTTTTATTTTTATTAATAATAATGCTGCTAAAGTCCCAAGAACATTTCACACGTTAGAGTGCGTTTTCCATGCTCAAGCCATTTTTATTTTTAATAATAATAATAATAATACACACACACACACATAAAGTCAATTATCAAAAAATCCTTTTAAAAACCATATTATTACAAAAAAAAAATGAAAATCAAAAGACATAAAGTCTCCTAGATCAAAGCTATGAGAATTTTGACTTTGAAAGAAAATACATCATTTAACTATTTAAAAAACAAAAAGATAAACACGTTCAGAGATCCAAATTTATAAAATTTTACTTTTAAGGATGCTTAAGTAATCTCATTATGTTTAATAAAAGTGTAAATACCTTATTTCCTTTGTTCAAATCTTAAATGACTTTTTTACAATTTGAAAAAAGTATGTCCTACCCTTAATGCAAGGCTTCATGATTTTGGAGTGAAGGGAAAAAATGTCACTTCACCATTATAATCCATAGTAAATATAGTCTTGGTCCACAGTTAAAACCTAAGCACGTGTAGTTTTCATTTAATACTAATCATGTACCCGTGTTAAGCTACGAAGCCTTTTTTTAAGTTAAAAATAATGTTAAGGTAGCTTGAAAATGTTTTAAAGAAGAAAAGAAAATGACCCAAGTCATAAACTAAACTGAATCAAATAAATTGGTTTTATTTTAATTAGATGATAAAAACTAGATAATGATATCAAATGTACTAAATTATAAATAAATAAAATATGATAATAATAACCTGGGAAAAGAAATTTTTATAAAACAGGACAAACATTATAGCTTAATTCTCATCTCATTAAATACAAAAAAATAAAATTGAATTAAAAAAACTGGCTCAAGCTAATTTGAGTTAGCATGAGAAACCTGTAACTTAAGGTAATAAGGGGTGAGCTAACTTGGGTTAACTTGCGATTCAAGTCATGAGATTAAGATAACTCGGTAGAAAAAAAATATACAAAATCACAAAGCTAAAAAAAATAAGTAAGAAATAAAATAATTTAAACTCATGTTAATTTTTCAAACTCGTTACTTGAAACTGAAAAACCAGAAAGCTTAATTTCCAATCAATTAAATATTGAAGGCTTAACCTAAAAAAAATATCAATTAGATAAAAGGATCCAAACATAAAATGACAATTAATAGAATGGAGATCAAAATTGAAATACAAAATAAATTTTATTTTTTTATTAAAGAGTGAAATTGAAAAAAATTAATTGAATATAAGGACCAAAAACACTATCAAAATAATAAGGATCAAAATTGAAATAAAAAATAAAAAATAAAAATAAAATTTTGATTGAAGGGTGAAATTGAAAAGAAAATTCAATTTAACAAAAGGCCTAAAAAATAATTAAAATAATGAGGATCAAATTGAAAAAAAAAATAGCAAATTAGGATTGGATGATAAAATTGGAAACAAATAAAACTTCTGCAAAAGACTAACAATAAAAATGAAAAATCAAAAGAATAAGGATTGAAATTGAAATAATAACAATAAAGAGAATCAAACTGTAATTTACAGGGGAAAAGAAAAGAAGAGAAAAAAATAGTTCCACTAGCAACAAACTAAACCACCACCACTTCTAAGTGTTGCACCAGTAGGAAAAGAATGTGATTACGCTTTTAACGATATAAAAAAGGTATTTTTAGACCCTAAAGGTACCTATGTGTCCTCAAAAGGGTGCAAGTGAATCTCACACATGAGAGAGTGTGCCACATGTACCTTAACCATTTATTTATTTATTATTATTATTTTGTCAAATACCAAATTACCCTTAAGTTGACCTAATAATAACCAAAAAATCATTGTAAAAAAGATGAAAAAACCCTTGACACCAGTTTAAAATTTTTTACTTATAAAAGCAATTTGGTTGTTTCATTGTGCCTTTTATTTTATTTGTATTTTATATATTTTCAAATATTATATTTCCCCTCAGTTGAATTAATAATAACAAAAAATCATTGAGAAAATACTAAATTATTCATTGACACCAACTTTTAATTTTTTTTGCTTCCAATGATATTTTAGTTGTTTTACCATGTAATTTTTGCTTCTAATATAGCATAATATAGTATAGTACTAGCCTTGATACTCATGCTTCACAACAAGACCAAACTATTTTTTATGCAAAAAAATGATATTTAGTTGTTACAAACGAGTTTTAAAAAAGAAAGAAAATGTGTGAATTGAGTCATGAACTTGACTTAGTCGAATAAGTTGATTTTATTATAATTAAATAAAAAAATAACAGTAAATGAATCAAATTTAAAAACAAAATGGGGGATTTTTTTTTCAAAATAGAGAAAATAATATATCTTAATTTTCGTTCCATTAAACAGAGAAGAAAAAAATGAGGTAAAAAAAGATATAAAAAACCGATCATGATTAGCTCAAGTAAACACAACAAACTTGTAATCCTGATAATCAAACTCAAAATTGAAAAACAAAATAAATTGTATATTTGATCAAAGATTGAAATTGAAAAGAAAAATTAATTTAGCAAAAGGAACAATAAAAATAAAAAGAATAGGGATCAAAATTAACATAAAAAACTAAAAACAATGTTTTGATCAAAGGATGAAATTGAAAAGAATAATAACTTTTACAATAGAGTCAAGAAAAAAAATAGAAATCAAAACAATAAGGACCAAAATGAAAAAGCAATACCATTAATTTAAATTGAATAATGAAATTGAAAACAGATAAATTTTTTACAAAAAAGCAAAGGAAAAAAATATAAACCAAAAAAATGAAGATCAAATTGGAAAATATAATATTTGGTAAATTGAGATTGAATGATGAAATTGAAAACAAATAAAACTTCTACAAAATAATCAAACTAAAGATTAGAAATATAAATAATAAGAATTGAATTTGAAATATCAACAATTAAAAGGGTCAACCTGTAATTTTCAGAGGAGAAAAGAGAGAGAAAAAAAAAAAGGTCAATTGATAACACACCAAATCACTATCGATGACACACATAATGTCAATAAATAGATAAAATAAAGGCACTTTTAACAATACAGTGGAATGATCTTTTTAGATGTCATGCAAAAAGTGTGAACATCTTTCACGTGTGCCATCAATTTTTATTTTTGTTATTATTTTTTTAGTTTAAAGACTCAATTGTCTCTCATCTTATATCATAATAACAAAAACACTCCATGTAATAACAAAAAAAATTGACAAAAAGATAAAAAATCTTCTTGATGCGGTTTATATTTTTTTTTACTTTTAATGATATTTTTGGTCATTTTACTATGCTTTTTATTTTTTAATTATTTTCTACACCTATGAAATACTAAAGTGTCCCTCATATGATATGATAATTATATAAAAATCATTGTGAAAATAAAAAAAAACAATGAAATACTAAAGTGTCCCTCATATGATGATATGATAATTATATAAAAATTATTGTGAAAATAAAAAAAAATATTTTATGACTAGTTTTAATTTTTTTATTTCAAGGATGTTTCAGTATTTTTGATGTCCGAGTAAAAAAAAAAAACTTCTTTACTTCTATTTCAAGGATGTTTCAGTATTTTTGATATGCGAGTGAAAAAAAAAAAAAACTTCTCTACTTCTAATTAATTTGACAATAACTAATGGATATTATAAAAAATCTAAAATACTCCTATTTACTTAGGTTAATTTTTTGAATGGAGAAATAAAACCATAAAATTATTGTTATAGTAAACAATGATTTTACTCACAACCTACTATGAAAATGTCTTTACAATTAGCTTTTATTAATATATTTTAAAACATTTAATTATATATAATCTATTTGTGTTTGAGAAAGATGGTTGGTAATTATGAAAATCCAATAACGTTAGAAATATTAATTGCAAAATCATGTAGTTCATTGTACACATTAAGGAATTCTGACAAATAATTTGTAAGAACTTTGAAATAATAAATGATCACACAACAATACATTCCTATGACATACAGTCGTGGCTCCCTCAAATTCTGCCAGGTCAATGCTATTCTTGGATAAGAAGATTCCACATTATCCCTGAAGGTCCACGTGGGAACCAATGATCTTTCGAAACCACTTGGGATTTTTCCAGACTCTTCACTTTTCGTCTCGAACTTTCCCCTCCCCTTTTAAATATGATGTTTATCCCCCTTTTTTCTTAGCAACCAAACAGTCAAGTCAAGCTATTTTGTAAGCTGTAGTTAGTCATTCTCTCTTTTTACTGCCTAACTTTCCCAGCAAACATACTAGCTGGCTACAAAGCAAGAAGAATTTTTTGGGAAGATGAGCCGAGTAGTAGATGAAGATGTGTTTGATGCAGTGAACCACTTGTTTAGCTTCCCTGAAAGCTTTGAGAAGTTGATGTTTCATCCGCGGTCGAGTGATCATACAACCAATGAAATCAGGAGCAGTAGTAATCCCGTCGACATTTTGGATGCTCCCAAAGATTATGTCTTCTACATGGATGTCCCTGGCTTGTCCAAGTCTGATATCCAGGTGCGTTTAATCAATATTCTGATGTGCCTTGTTTTAAAATTGAAATTTTGGTTGCTGATCAATTTTATTGATTACAGGTTACTGTTGAAGATGAGAATACTCTGGTGATCAAAAGCGGAGGGAAGAGGAAACGCGAAGATGGTGATGAGGAAGGCTGCAAGTACATCAGGCTTGAAAGGAAGGCACCTCAGAAGCTGATTAGAAAGTTCCGGTTGCCTGAAAATGCCAATGTGTCTGCCATCACTGCTAAATGCGAAAATGGGGTTTTAACCGTGGTTGTTGGGAAGCATCCTCCGCCACCCAAACCTAAGACGGTTGAAGTTACCATCTCCTGAAAGAAATTAAGGAGACTGGAAGATGATGAGGAGTTAGTTAGGTTAACGAGCACGAAGGGCTTTGTCCAGCTTGTGTTGTTGAATTGATGTAGCGGATGATTTTGTGACTGAGGAAGATGCAAGGAAATAGTGTAGTGTCTTAATTCGAAGCCAAATTACTTTGAAATGTACTGGTGTTCTTTCCTACCTAGATAGGATTGAGATAACATTTAAAAAAGTAAAGCTAAGGTAAATTAATAAAGTAAAATTATAAATCATAAAAAATAAAATAGTAATAAAAAAGTGGATTAAATTTAATATATAAAAAATTTGAAATTAGATATTAAGTGATGAAATTAAAAATAAAAATTAATTATAAAAATAATAAAAATAAAAATAAATAAAATAAAATAAAATAAAATGATGAGAAAAGATAATTAAAATAAATATCACAGTAAAAAGATCAAGGTTTTAAATGGATACATGTAAAAACAAGATAAAAAGATGCTATATATTTTTTGATAAAAAAAATAATTTGAAGCTTAAATATTGCTTTGCTGACCACGCGCGATACTGCTGGCAGAAACATTGCAATTTGCTTTCAACATCGACTTCTGCTAGCAAATTTTCTTTGAGTAATATGAAAATTATATATATAAAAAAAGGTCACCGCATTCAACCCACCAATTAAAAAAACAATTTAAAAATATACAGATACCTGTAATTGAAAATTTTAATTTTTTTTCCTTGAAAGTTTATATACATTTTGAAAATACATAAAAAATCAAATTAATCATGATAAACCTATTAATTATTAAAAAGAAACAACATGGAAAGATACATGTACTCGTGGTTACTAGTTTTTCTTTTCTTTTGTTTCAAGGACATGAAAGTCTTTAATATTGTATATAAAAATATAAAATCGACCTTCCAATAAATGTTGTTTTTAAAAGTAATATAGTTTTTAAATAACACATAAATAGCATAAAATTTTCAACAAAATATCTGAAAGTGCATTAAAATATCTAAAATTTGCAACAATATTATCCCTAATAAATAAAGGCAGAAACTTTATCAGCATTAGTCCGAGACCTTTGTGTAGCTACGAACATCTTAGTATACAAATGGACTAAAATTCAAGATATGTAAATAAAATATTATTTAATATTTGAAATAATAATTAGTCAATATCTGAAATAATAATTAGTCAATATCATGTACTTGAACTTCTTTTTAATTATAAAAACTTCATGCTTACAATTTAAGTTTAGATTACATGCAAAAACAATCTATTAATAAGAGGCTCAAAGACATGTGATAATATAAAGTTAATATTTAAATAATTTGAAAAAAATTTAAATTTGAGGAATAAATATTTATTCTTGAATTTTAAGTTTGTTGATATTTTAAAATTAAGTATTTTTATTTCAAAAAATAAAAAGTGATACTTTAATAATTTAGAGGGTATTTATATCATCTGAATCTTATTATTTATATATATATAAAAAAAAATCTAGAAAGTCCCCTGCTTTTAATGATATTAATGAAAGGTAAATATTTTTTATATATCATTAAAGTATGGTATATCATTTAATAGATCTTTTATATAGTATAGAAAAATCATTACCTTAATACAAACAATTATTCTATATAAAGAAGCATGAATATTTATTATATCTTTAATACTTATATTATACAAGATTTTTAGGATTGGGGGTTTAGAATGTTTATCAAACCCATGTTATCTTTGATTTAGTGAACTGTAAAGTTAAAATGCCTTAGAGTCTCGCATATTTATCAGACTCATGTTATCATGGACTTAATAGATTATTACATTTAAGTGTCTTGGGTCTACAATAAATAATGAAATGTCAAGGTTGTTTTCACTTTGATCCTGAGGATTTTCTAAGACTATGTTTTTGAAATTTAAAATTTAGTTTTTTATTGAAAAAATATCATTCTTAAATATTAGATTTATTGAGTATTGAATTTTATAATTTATTTTGATTTGCTTTATACATAGTTATCATAATCTCATGACACGAGTTGTGAGTTTTATGAGTTAACCACGTTAGCTCCGATCATATTTTAATTAATTTTTTTAATTTTATCTTTCAATATTGAATTAATTAAAAAATAGATTTTCTAATTTTTTTTATGGAGTTATCATGATCTCATAACCCCGATTGTAAGTTTTGCAAGTTAGTCAGGTTAACCTGGGGATTTTTAATTAAATATTTTTTTAATTTTATCTCTCAATATTTGATTCATTGGAAAATAAAATTTATAATTTTTTTATTTTTTTAGGATTTATCCCTATTTCCTTACTTAGATTTGGTATGTTAACTCGGGTGAACTCAAGTTATTTTTTTAATTTAAACTTTCAACATTGGATTTATTAGAAATTGAGCTTTATAATAGTATATTTAAAGGAATTGGCATTTCACTACAACAATAAACAAAGAAATGCCAAGTTAGTTTTCACTTTGGTCTTTAAAATTTTTTATCATATTTTTTTAAAAAAATCAAAATTAGTATTTTTTTTTAATTTTATCATCCAACTTTTGATTTACTGGATAATAGACTTCATAATTTATTTTAATTTACTTTCTATGAAGTTTTTTTAGTCTCATGACCTAAGTTAGGAGCTTTGCAAGTTAGTTGTGGTGATCTAGACTAATTTTTTATCCTTTTTATTGATTAATTTTGTTCATAGATTTATCTTTTAATATTGAGTTGATTGATAATTAAGCTTTATATTTTTTTATTTGCTTTCTATAGGGTTATCATGGTCTTATAACTCGAGTTGTGAGTTTTGCGGATTAGCAAAGTTGGCTCAAGTTTTTCATTTTTTTAATTGAATATTTTTTATACAATTTCATCATTCAATATTGAGTTGATTGTAATTGGATTTTATATTTTTTATTTTCTTTCTATATAATTATATTAGTCTCCTGACCCGAGTTTGACATGTTAGTTCGAATTGAATTGTTTTTTAATTTAAACTTTTAACTTTAGGTTCATTGATAATTGAATTTCATAATTCTTTTTTATTTGTTTTTTTATGAAGTTATTATCATTTTATAACTATAATCGCAAGTTAAGCTGATTGACTCATGTTTTATGTCCTTTTTTTAGTTCATTTTATTTTTTAATTTCATCTTTTAATATTGAAGATTAAACCTTTTACTTTGTTATGGTTTATATTTTATGAAGTTATTCTGATCTTATGATTAAGGTTACGAGTTTGGTCAGTTGACTCAAGTTACTTTTTGTGTTTTTTTTTTTAATTTTTTTAATTTCTTCTTTCAGCATTAAGTTGATTAAAAATTAAAATTCATAATTTGTTTCAATTTGCCTTTTAATTTAGATATTTTGATCTCATGATTGAGGTTTGATAAATTAACCTGAATTGACTTAGATTATTTTTTAATTGATTTTTTTTTCAATTTCATCATTAAATATTGAATTGATTGAGAATTGAATTTAATTTTTTTAATTTTTTTTATAGGGTTAGCAGGATCTCATGACTTAAATAACTGATTTGGTAGGATAACTCGAATTGATATGAATAGATCTAATATGATATTATTTTAATATTTTAAAAAAGACATAGTCTCAATTTATTTTAAGTAAAATTATATTTTAATTAATCATCTCAATTTAACTTTAAATATACCAAGTTAATTATACCATATTAGTTCATTCTTCATGCAATTTAATTTTTCAGCTAAAAAAATTTGACAACATCTAAACATTTATTTCACATAAACAAACTTAATCGTACTCACAACACAGCATCTAGCGGTATATATAAAAAAAAAAAATCTAATTAAGAACCAAACAATTAAATCATACAAAATTTTAATATTTTCTTAATCAAACGACGACGTGTAGTTTGAGTAGGCACAGGCCCATAGTTTATTTGTCTGGGCCTTAAAAAACCCTTGTGGTGGTAGCAAAAGCTTTCTTATCGCTCGCTCACTCTCTCAAAACCAAAAAACCCTAGCTCCTCACCCACCTTCTCCCTCCGTGCCCCACACACACTCAAGCAGTAAATCATGGCGACAGCAACCGGAGCAGCTGCGGCTGCACCAACAAGGGCACTGTCGCAGAAAGAGCTAGACATTCAGATGATGTTGGCTGCTGAGGTTCATCTTGGCACCAAAAATTGTGACTTCCAAATGGAACGTTATGTTTTCAAGCGCCGCAATGATGGTATATTAGCTGTGCTTTCTCTTTGTAAATACCCATCTGTTTTAGACGTGTTGATCGTTATACTTTTAGGAAATAAGTAATAGCTTTTTGGTTTTGTGGTCTGTTGCTGATCTATTAAAGATTTGAGTCTTTGAGCATGATTTCTGTTACGTGTTGTGTGTTTTTTGTGTTTTACTTTTCTTTTGTGTTCATGAACTTTAAATGGTTTGGAGATCTTTTTTTGGATGAATTGTCTATGTTGAGATCATTGGTGGAACAGAGATGTAATTTGTGTGTTTTTTGTCTTTTGTTATTAAGGCTTCGAATAATCTTATGAAAATGAGGCTTTCGTTTAGATTCAACGTGTTATCTGTTAGCTGTTTGAGATGCAAGGGAGTTATAATTTTAAATTTGTTTGTTTTATTTGTCAATTTTACTTTATTTTTCTGGATATTTGTACAGTATGCTTACTGTGGCTGTTCATTGTTGTGATGGGCAAATGGTTTTAGTTCTAACTTGTCTTTCTTATTGATTTCTCTTTATTGCTCAGGAATTTATATTATCAACCTTGGAAAAACATGGGAAAAGCTTTTACTGGCTGCCAGAGTTATTGTTGCAATTGAGAACCCCCAGGATATTATTGTTCAATCTGCGAGGCCCTATGGTCAAAGAGCTGTCCTCAAGTTTGCCCAGTACACTGGTGCTCATGCAATTGCTGGAAGGCATACCCCTGGTACCTTCACTAACCAGATGCAGACTTCATTCAGTGAACCTCGTCTCTTGATCCTCACTGATCCAAGGACTGATCACCAGGTGAACCCAGACTTGTCAATAGCATTAAGCATATCATACCTGTTGGTTTTTTTGCTCTCTTTTTTCTGTCTTCAAATTTTAATCATCATCAGTAATATCATACAGCCTATCAAGGAAGCAGCTCTTGGAAACATTCCAACCATTGCTTTCTGTGACACTGACTCTCCCATGAACTTTGTGGATATTGGCATTCCTGCTAATAACAAAGGCAAGCACAGCATTGGATGCCTGTTTTGGCTGTTGGCAAGAATGGTTCTGCAGATGCGTGGAACTATTCCGCAAGGGCACAAATGGGATATTATGGTAACATATTTATTGCAAAAGTGTTTTACAGTCTCTAGCCCCACCTCTCTTCTCTGAGCTTTCTGTTTTTATCCTTTTGCCTTTTAAATTGCGAGTAGAATGACTTGATGCTCTGCACTCCATCTTACTATAGCAAAAATCACAATGTTTTAGTTTAGCCTGCAGCAGATGCAAACTTTCATTATGCGTCTGTTTCCTTCATCAGTATTTTAATGTCATATTTTACTGCTTGGGATTTGTTTGTACATTCACGGTAACTGTGCTTGAATACGTTACATGGATTGGTTATGGAACGTTTCATTTGGCTTTTTTCTGGATAGGTGGACTTGTTCTTTTATAGGGAACCTGAAGAAGCCAAGCAACAGGAAGAGGAGGATGCACTACCAGCTGCTGATTATGCTCTCCCACCTCCTGATTATGGAATTTCTGCAGGTGAATGGGGTAGCACCATAGCTGATAGTCAATGGACTACTGATGTGGCCCAACAACCCATTCCTGCCTCCAATTTCTTTCCAGAACAAGGTAACCACAATTCGTTGAGACTCCTATAATCTTTGCATTTGTGTTCTGCAGTGAAGCTTCTGTCTTTGGATTCATCCCTCCTTTTTATTCAAAATTTAGGTGTACTTTCTGGTGAATGGGGTGCGGCTCCGGCTCCGGCTCCAGCTCCAGCTCCTGCTGCTGAGCAGCTCCCAGGTGTTGAACTTGGTGCACCTCCTCCGGCTGCTGCTGCTACTGGCTGGGACGTTTAAATTCAGCAAGAATGCTCATGTTTACAACTACCATCATTCTTGTTTTACAATTACCGTGTTTTGCACTCATTCGAGAATCATGAGTTAGTTTTGTGGGGAACGGACTGTTTATCTGTTTTTACATTTTTGGGCTCGGTGTAGTTCTAGACGTTTAATTTTTTTTATATAAGATTTACACCGATTTTGGTATCGAATCGAAATGCTGTGTTTTGTTGGGTCTTTTTTTAAGCTTCTGTTGTTTAAGGTGTAATATTCCATGTGGCACTGTATTTTATCTGGCCTGATTCAAATGATTCGGGATTTGTTCGCGACAGAAATCTCTCTTTTTTACTGTACACGTTACTGTTCTCCCCAAATATGGTGGCTCGGAGATGATTAATCTGCGGTTGTGATGAACAGGCAAGCGTGAAGATTAGGGGATGTTACTTTCTACCAGTGCAAGCGTCCTCCCAATTATACAAGCAGCCTTATTTAACTTAGATTGTGACAATGGCTCCATGGTTAATTTAACAAAGATTTAATTATTTATAGAAATGAAAATAATTGACTTTATTATTTCGTTTTTTAAATTTAATATGAATCAAGATCAATATAGGAAGATTTCAAAGCCTTCGTTTTAGCGGAGGGCATGAGTATCGGATGAACATTGGAGATGTGACTGGAGAGTAACATCTGAATCCAACAGTTGCAACTGTTCTTTCTTTTGGGAAGATGTATGTAAAATATATACAGGGTTTCAAAAATAATCTTTAATATCCTAAGGGAAATGGAGGCCTCGAGAGCTCCAAATGAATTTAGCTATGCTATTTACCCTTGTGTTTCCTCATTCACGTTCCTGAAGGCTTACAATCAAACAAAATGGCGGTATCGTATCTTTAGGTTGATCTCTGGCTATTTATTTTCAGACAGGAAATCCGCATCCTTCGGATGGGATCAAACAGATTTATGGCTCTAATGAATTATGTATTGAAAAATTGGAGGTGAACTTCAATGGAACAGCATCTCCTCACTCATTACCCACCGGACAAAGCGGTCCGGGAATCCACCAGCAAGGTCATCAGAAGATCCGGTTTGACTTCTTCCCTGAACCAAAGGAAGTATCAGATTAACATTCTGACCAACGCAAATCAGGAATGCAAGTGATGAACGATCAAACAGCAAAACATTACTCAAATACAAATAACAGAAGGCTGAGAAATGCCAGCCAAATAATGTGCGAGAAACTTGAGCACATAGCATAACAATATAAAGAGATAGTTCTCAGGTCAAGACCATAGTTGATGCAGTGTCAGACTCGAAAGAAATGCATAAAATTGGATGCCAACTTGAGCCAGCCATAATTATTCTACCTTGTGGTAGATTCTCCCCTAGTGAGATAGAACAGGCAAAAAAAAAAGTGAATAAATTTGACGCTTAAACATATGAGAGATGATCAAGCAGTTTTAACCAATTTACTAACACATGATGTCAATTCAGTAAAAAGTTGATAAATAACATAGTTGCTATAGAGGGTCATACACCAGAAACTTGTAATCTTTAAACAAACTGCAAATGCAAACACCAGAAGGAAAAAAAATAAAAATACTAACCTTCAAGCTAGGTCCAGACTCACTAGCAGATATGGTTGTTTCTATTTTCACATCGTTCCCAAGATTCTCAGATGACAGGCCGCCAGCACTAGACCTGCAGCCATTAAAATAATTGTCGAGTACTCGCCTTTGGTTCCTGAGCTGAAGCACTTATTGGAAGTATAAAAACTACCTATCACACAGATCTTCTTCGCATGAATTCCCAGATGTAGAAAGCCAGTCCATATCAAGGAAATTTGAGCAGCTGCAAGCATCCCCATGTTCGTCATAACAAATATGATTACTTTCAAAACATTGGCATTCATCCACATCTTTGAAAAGCTTCCTGCAAGGCATTGAGGGAGTGTACCTAAAAAGACCCCCAACATTAATCAGCCACGTGAGCACATCAAATGCAACAACAGCATGATATAAAAAGGGTTAAGGAATGCATCCAAGCATTTCCATTTCCAATTGAATTACATGCTGAAATTGAGGGACGATGACAGCCAGATTTTGTAGCCACAGCATTTATAAATAAACCTCACTTATCCATTCCCAAGCAATGGCTACAATTGCAGAGGAATGACAACTTATCTCCTAATGGCTAAAGAAATATAACCTACTGAAAAGAAATATAACCTACTGAAAGGAGAATCTATTTGGCATTTCAATTAGCCATCAACTTTGCACCTCTATGAGGAGTGAATACAAATCAGATAAACCATGGGCTTACCAAATAGGGAGATAAAACGTAACAAGCTGTGACAAGCATTGAACAATTTAAGCAGACCTGGAATATGATATGTCACTTTCACAAGTTGATATCTCCGGATTTGAGTCTGAAAGACCATTATTAACTCCTCCCTCCTTTTCAGACAGAGGCTTACTGTATCCAATATTGGCAGCTACTGGTGACTCATTTTCACACCGAAGATTGCCATCTGACAGTGACCTTTTAATGAATGACCTACAGATGACAAAAATATATTAGCATAAAGGTTTCCTTACAAATGAAACTTTAGTTTCATCATATTATATGTTCTAAACATTATATGGTCAAAGTAAATCTCACATTAACTTATGCTCACACACAAGCATGTTTAAACACACAATTAATTCCAGTATCCAAGTTGCATGTATCATTTAGAAGAATTGCATCTACTGGATGTGTTAAAGCTAACGATTTATTTGCAATACAACAATGATAACAGAAACATGCATTTTTTTTTAAAGCGAGGTCCTTGACCAACATAACTTCTGTGATACACAGTTTTCCTCTTCACAAAAAGGTCCCAAAATAGTTCTTATTCAAAAAAAGTCCCTAGATATGAAGTGTAAAACTTGTCAAAAGCAGAAACTGAAATTATAACCACAATTCTCCTTCCAGTCATTGAGAATCATAGTCCCAGACTGACCCTTTTTTAGCTCTGGTACATGTTATAGCATTGTCACCGATTACCTACTTTCATACCCTTTAGAACAATATAATGTTACCACCAACCATACCCAAAGAAAGTGGTTTCCTAAACAAGTGCGTCTTTACAAATTCAGCTATAGTTATGGCACTGAGGGAATTAGGTAAGCATGCAAAAATTATTGAGATATGGCGTGTTATGAGGGCATATTACCTCGCATTCTCAACTAAATCAGGACCACGCCTTCCAACATCACAATGCTGATCCGAATCCAATTCCCACAGTGCTGGCTTTCCCTGCTGTGGCTGGAAATGACCCAAGAACCTGACCAAAAAGTTAAGGCAAATATCACATCAAATGCATAAGCTATCCCCTGCAATGAACCTACCATCAAAACATACATTTTAAAATCCCTGATCTGGGAAGTTCTTTCCAGAGAAAAGTAATGATGGCATTGAAGCGCAGAGCCTCTTATACTTACACATTAATAGCATCTTGTTTCTCAGCATCCATGTAGGCATTGCTGTAATAACGTTGTAGAGTTCTAAAGAATTCCTGGGACTGAGTTGCTGCTTTCCACTGGCCTCTTCTCTCAGAAAATATCTATTTAACATCATCATTGGAACACAGTGATGCATTGGCAGTGCTAAAATTAAAATAGATAGTTTTATGCAAAGTTCCAAAAGTAGAATATCCATTTAACATTAATAGCATCTTGTTTCTCAGCATCCATGTAGGCATTGCCGTAATAATGTTGTAGAGTTCTAAAGAATTCCTGGGACTGAGTTGCTGCTTTCCACTGACCTCTTCTCTCAGAGAATATCTATTTAACGTCATGGCAACACAGTGATGCATTCGCAGTGCTAAACTTAAAATAGATAGTTTTATGCAGAGTTCCAAAAGTAGAATTTTCAAAAAAAAGTGGACAAATGGAATGAATACGAGTATTTCAGAAACAAGGGTGTTTTGCTTTTTAAGTAATGAACTAACAATTTCAACAGTAAGTACATCCATTACTCTTTTAACTCCTGAGAATCCTTACTTTCTTCCCATGCAGGCAAAGGATACCCAATGTGACCAACTTAGTTCCTTGGCATCACAATCAAAGAGGCGATGACATGCAAAATTTAATTTCTTAATAGAACACAAACGTGACAGAGCCAACTTGCTCAAATAGTTTAGTTTACACACACTGGAAGATTGAACAAAACTACAATACAAGTTTGGTATAATGTTTTGCATTATCCGCGCCATCCTAAAACACATGCATCCAAGATTAAAAGCATCAACAAGCTTGCAAATGTTTCTGATTTCCAAAATCCTACAAATTAAGTCAGCTCATTGAGCAGCAGACCCACCTACTGCAGTTTTCAAGGTGACCAAAGAAAAATAATCACACCCCTATGAACTACATAATCTTAAGTGAGAAAATCTTTGATTTTTATTTTTTTTACCTTTTCAACTAAAAAAATTCCAAGGAAAACAGCTAACCGTGCCCAAAAATGTATTTGATCCACAAAATTAAGTTCAATCATATTTAATCATTAAACTGTAGGCCTCCCCAAACCCACAAGGATTACCTTGTTGTGAGCAGCGGACCCACCATACTGCAGTGCAAGTGTGTCACCCATTGTCTCATAAATCCTCATTAAATCTTCAGCTAAAGGATTATCTAGATCAATACTTGGGGATTCCATATATCCTAGTGCATGCAGCTGATGCCCTAGAGCCACCAATCCATAGGCATATTGTGCTACATTTGTGCGATCTAAACAGTCTATGCAATTGGTCCTTAAAACACCACTTTGGAACATTGGAACGTTGATACTCTGATTTTGATTTGCATCACATTCAGCTTTGGCAATTTCTGAATCCAACTTGCTGACATTGCCATTTTCACTAGAAGGATTTTCAAGAGAATAGTCACCATCACGTTCCCTGCACCAAATTTGCATCGCCAGCATAGTAAGTCACTTACAAGAATTAGAAAGAAACAAATTATCATGGCAGCGTACCCTAAAATTGGAAGTCACTAGAAAAGTATCATGATCCATAATATTGCATTTTCTGTTTTTCCCACCTTTTTTTTATTGATTACAATGTATAAATGCAAAAGGACACATTACACAAGCTGTGCACTTGCAAGTTTTGAGTTTTGAATCAATATATTTCCTCAAATCATTTGAAATTCTACAAAGCAAAAAGTCCACTTCACTTTGAATTTACTATAAATTTAAAGGCCCCGGATAGCAATTGGGTTATTATTGCATGAAATCTAGCAAGACAACGGATTCTCAGAGCAAGCAATTCCCTGAGTGGATAAGACAAAAGAAAAATACCATGTAAAGAGAGTTGGAAGCCTTTTTTCATTAACTTACTCAACGCAGGACCCATTTAACAATCCCTTGGAACTTGAACTTGGCATGACTTGACAATAAAAGATCCCAGTTAGATTCAATGCATAGCTTGCAACTCTTCCTAGAAGTGCCAAGACATTTGTAGCCCTGTTGAAAGCAAACAAATGCTATTAACTTCAGTCATCACAAAATTAATGCGAGAGAAAAGTATGGGGCGGGCAAGGAAAGTACTTTCTAGAGTGTTTATGCAAATCCCAGTGCAGAAACTTTAGGCGATTCTCCTTGGGTAAACTTTTATTTATAAACCTGATGGCATTTGCAAACTCAGCACGAAGTATGGTTTCCCGAGGCTTCTTTTCATGCGACTGCCAATAATCAACATAATTGTTAGAAACATACAACAACCATGCATCTGGAGCAATCAGTCTCTTGGTAATCGCAGCAACCTACCTTTATTAAATTCAAAATAATTATCGGATTTCCATATCTCTTCACAAGATTTTCAAAATGAAGTTTTGTTGCCTCAAAATTTTGGTCCTTCCTTGATACTGCAAAACAATAATAAATAAATAACTTGTGAAAGTTACCACTCAGAATAACACGGTTCACAGTACCGAAGCCATACACATAATGTCAGGTTTGATATTCAATCGTGAAGTTTCTTGAGACCAGAAAAGCGGGATTGAACCCCGATTCTGAACAACAGAACTTATTTGCATTGGCTGTTCTTCAGGAACATCTTCAAACATTATCTGTTCTGTCTCAACATCATTAGCAACTCTACCCTTCTCATTCACGCCTCGTTTTAAATATCTAGACAGATCAGAAAATAGGAAAATCAAATGAAATTCATTGTAAGTTTAGCAGTGATCAGTGGGATAAAATCTGGATGGTAGTGTTTCTATAACACATCAGTGGACTATATGATGAGGTTAATACAGATTGGATCCGATCATTATTAGAGAGTTTATCATGTTCACAGGCAAAAGATCAAAGCAGCCAAGCAGGATTGGTTAACTCCAGCTGGCATGCTGTTCAAAAGTTTTGAAGACTATCCATACCTTGTGCCAGCATAATGCCGTGATCGTCTAGCAATGAGAGCCAGCTTAAACTCCCTGCCAGATACTGAAAGTTTGACCTGGATACCAACAAAAGAAAACTAAAAAAGATCAGAACAAAGAATATCATACAAATTTGCATAAATAAATATTGAAAGGCGATTCATAAGGCCAGATAAATATGGATGGAGTTGACATTCCATTCAACCTGGTTCAACTTACAAAAGAACCATGTTCTTAATTCAATTAATTTTCCTCACAAAAGACCTTGGTAGAGGAACTTCAACTCCTAACTCTAAATGGGATGTAATAATAAACTTGATAGCTTTGAAAAGAACCACAAAAAGTAGTGAGTGAAGAAATTAGAGAAGAAGACAGCAAAACATAACATATACCATCGTAAATGTGATGACCATTTTCTATCATGGACTGTTCTTTTTTATAGCATGAACATCTTTAAGCACTCATGTATAGTTGGTTACTTGAAATAAAATGCACCTGTTTAAAGAAGCCATACACTAATGCCACTGTCCATAGAGAATTCTTGAGGTTATTTCGAATTCCTCGAGTTAAGAATTCATTCCAAACAAACATTGATTCATAGTGACCTTGTCCCGTCTCATTACAAGATAAATTCTTCTGAAGACTGTGCATAACATGGTAGGAGTAGCTGAAAAAGAAGTCCCTTGTAAGATCCACCGTGCACAGGAGCTTCTTATATCTATTACATCAAGAAAAAAAAAATTGAAAGGACAAGTCAGTATGTTTTTACTGATGTTAAAGAAAAGGCATGCTATGAATTGTTAGTATAATAAATATAACAAGAAACTGAAGTAAAAAAGTGAATTTTCCCCCACAAACCCTGATGATACCTTGTCTCATTCAACAGATTTTATTAACATCACAACAGCAATGAAGTTTGCCCCTGTACATATGCAAGAAATGAACTGGCAATGGCCACTAAGCAAAAATATCAGCTACAAAGGATGCAACGGCAAAATTTTATATGCATACCTCAGAATAAGATGCCCTACTTGTCTCATCTCAAAAACAAAAATTAAACCAGAAGAAGGATAAACTATAGCTACATTTACTACCAGAAGAAATTGAATAAGTTTGAATCACAGAATCCCGCATCATTAATTAACACTGAAGGGTGTAATGACAAAAATAGTCAAGAAATTACCTCCACAGTGTTGAACCAGTCTACTTCTAATAGACAACACGCAACTCAAACTAATTGTTCCAAACAATTAAATGAAAGAAAATAAAAATACCAAACATTGATTTAAATTAAACCAGCGCAACCATAAAAAAGTCATCATCTAATTACAAATTAACAATGCTAATTCTGATACTAGTCTCTTAGGTCTCCTTAACAGAACCAAGTACATATTACATTTACATGCAGAATGGACAAAAGACCTGTTCTCGTTCTTAGAATTAGTCATATTGGACTGCACAGTAGAATTTGGAATAGGAATCATCTCGCTCTTGGTTATAGAATAAACTGCATGGCCACAAATTGCACCAATCTTCCTTCTTTTTGTTATCAGCAGCATGTAATGGGGTCCCAAAAGTTTAATAAACCCTATGTTAAAGAAAAGAGCACCATGAGTTCAATAATGAAATATATCAAAAGCTAACATAGAAGACCTTGCAGATACAACATACCAACAATTCCGTAACAAATAGTGACAAATTTAAGTCCACCCGTCGACTTATTGCCTTCATGTATTCGCCTTCGCAGGTCAAAGCATTCACTTTCTGAATATGTTGTAGAATCTTCAAGAACAACGAGTTCAGATGGCTCTAACCGACCAATCTTTAACACCCTGAAAAGGGTTCTGTTCTTGTCTCTTCCGATCATATAAAAATTCTGCCAAATATTAGATGTTGGTCAGAAGTAGTTGTGATGATGATTCTATAAATTGGCATGAATAATCATTGCATATAAGAAGAAAAATGAAAATCTTTTGATAAATAAATTCATATCAACAACAGCACTTTACTATTGTTGTAAAATAAATTGTGGGATAAATGAAAGAAGCAACAAAAAGTTCCATCAAACAAGAGTGGAGATTTTTCAAATAGGCAAAGCACATAATCAGTACATTAAATTCCAGCACAAGAAAGAAAGTTCTATGCAACTTGTTTCATGCTTCATAAGCATCAGGATATAACTCATGCAGAAAGTCTGGATGGGCATAGTTTTCCAAAATGGTAGTGACTTCAACGTTCAGAGGACCCATATTGCCCAAAACAAATTGAAATAACCCCAATACTTAAATTATAGGGACACAGATAAGAGAAGGGCAACGACTTCAACATATAGTACCAAACACGACAAGGATTACTCCCTTTAGACAACATATAAAAACACCAAGAAACATAAGGTCTGGTAAAATTTGAGAAACTAATGGCCCATGTCTGTCATACTCTATTTATAAGATTCACTGAAAAAAAAAATTGGATTATGCTTGACCACCTTATTGGAATAATATTAATAAAATAAAGTTATATCCATTGACTGCATGCCAAAAACAAAAAAGATAGACAAGTCTGTAAAATTCAAAGATTTCTTACGCCTTAAAAATGTGATACTGAGCAGGTAAACATGGGAAAGCAATCATAAAGGTGTGCAAATGCAGGAAAAAAACTCATACAAATGCGTAATTAAAATTTTGATCTCAATTTATGCTGAAGAGTAGGAAAAGCAAACAGCATCGTGTACATTTCTTTACTGTTACCAACCTAAATCCTACAATTAGATTGCAATAACATCAAAGACTGTTGCAATAACTGACACCCAAACTTGTCATTATGAAATATTTTCAAGGAACAAACTTGGCGACAAATCAATGAGCTGCTTTTGTATAAAATCGAATGGCAGATGAGCAAAATACATATGGTCTTATTCATTACTTCGGGAAGAAGGAGTAAGGCAGCAAAACAGGTATGAAAAAAGCAAAATTTGGACATTTACATCTCCCCACTTTTTGCTTAGCCCAAGAATCCCAATGGAATAGTTCGCTGGAAGCCCGGTCACGAATTCCACATCCCCACTTTTTTAACAAAATCATTCTAAGACATAAACTTAGCACGCTTTAAGTTTTCAAAATGAACTAAGCAAGAAAAAACCAAAACCAAACTCATCCAATTGCTAACTACAATCTCAGAAGCAATGAGTGCTTTATTTGAAACACTCCCTTCAAATCCGAGTTTCCAATCTGGTCAAGACCACCCCCTAATCAAGTCAAAATCCTAAATCTAACACCACGTGAATCATATCCAATGTAAAACAATCACCCCATCAACATTAAACCACCAGAAGCATCAAAATTTTAAATTCCTCACTTCAAGGAGGCAATCACAGCAGAATTGAAATGAACACACAGAAGAAAAATAATCATTATCCCGGAAATCACAAACAAGAACTATTAAAACAACAAATCAAAGACTTCAAAACACAAAAAAAAAAAAATCAAACAAGACAACATAAAGATAAAGATTGAAGAAAATGAGCACGTATATTATGTATATATACCGAGCGAGTCTCATAGAGTCTGAATTTCTGCAAGTAACAATAATTGGAGGCACCACCAATCAAGTTTGTTTCCATTTGGGATCCCACCTAGCTGAACCTCCTGGAGTTGGGTCAACTCCACGGTAACAAAAACTCCTTTACTTCTCAAAATCTACACTGAAAGAACACATCTTTAACTATTTGTCTATCTGGGTTTTTATTATTTATTTAAGAAAACACGCAGAATGAGAATTCAAAAAAAAAAACAAACAAAGAGCCAGCAGACCAATTAAGTGAAAGTTTCAATCTTTTTTTGTGGTGGAGATTACAGTTTTTGATCGAGAGAAAGCAAACCAGATAATGAGCTAATAATACACAGGACGTCTTGGAGCAGATCGAAGAGAGATGGCAGACGCAGAGAATAGAGGAGAGAGAGAGAGGGAGAGAGAGAGGCTACAGATCAGAGAGAGAGAGAGAGAGAGAGAGATTGAAATGAAATGCAAAAGAAGAAAATTGTTTTATTTATTTATTTGTTTCTTTAATTTTTAGACACTGTTTGCTCTGTGGTTGTGGTTGTCAGGAATTAGGAGATTGTATGAGTGGTGACTGACTGTCCGAATTAATCATGTTTTACTTGTTCTAATTTTCTTACCGTTACCACGCTTTCCTCTTTCTTTCTTTTTTTTTTTAAGAAAAAAATATGTATTCTATTCTCTCCTCAACCAGCAAAGCAATTTTGAACTCGCATAAAAATAGTTTTAATGCTAAAAAGCTTTGTAAATAATTTCCCTATACAACAAGCAACAACAACATTGTAATATGAGGATTTGGAAGATTGATTTGATATTTTTTTATAAAAAAAAACTGTATTTTAGTTTTTATATATAGAGTTCAAATTTCACTCCTTGCAATGAAAAGATAAAACTATAGAAAAAAATTAAAAATATCATATATAAATAAACCTCTTTTGTATGTTCTTGGATGTCAATGATGGTATTGAAAAATTCTTTTAATTCTCTATTTATAAAAAAAATATTGTTCAAGAGCAATGGTGTTTTATAAAGGAGTAGGGCCTATTTCCAATAATTCTCCAACTCTTGTAGGAAATATATTTTATATTACCATGAACATCTTAGGTGACGATGTTGTGGTGTTAGTGAATAAGAATATGCTCATACCATATGCCTTTCTTTGCCCACTTGCTTGGAAGAACATGATATCATTTTTATATTCCATTGAATTGTGGAATATTTACAATGCTGCAACTCTAAATTTCCATCTTGATCACATGAGACTAATATAATGTAACCTTACAATAAACAAAGTAAATAAGTTACTATTTAGGATTTATTATATTTTTAGTTGATTTAAGATTTTTTTATTTAAATTAAAACTCTTTTATTATTTCTTAATTTTTTTTATGACTTTTTAATAGTTTATAAGCCACCTAAAACAACTGTAATAAAGAGTTTTTCTTATATTGCTTTCGTTTGTAAATCATAAATAAAGAATTTATGCATTATATATATATCTATATATATATATATATATAACCCTATTAAAAAAAATGAGTTAAGAAATTAGGTAGGGAAAAATTTAGATAATGGATAAATATATCCTTCACCCACTCTGCATTCAATTTAGTAGAATTGAGTCAAGCAAGAAAAGTAATTCTTTTAATTTTTATTTGAAACAAAATTAGCTTATTTTAATATTATTTTTCTCTTCATTGTGCTAAGAGTAAATACAGGCTCAAAGTCATAAAAGATTTTAAAGTTCACCTAGATATACACAACCTCAGCCAAGACCAAACAACCATTTTTAGTTTGGTTTTCGATAATATCCTAGTGGCTTAGTATCACTCAAAGGCATATAAGATCAATTTAGGATCCTAAAGGTCTTGATGACCTAATTAGCCTAATACTTGCCATTATTAAATTGCAATCAGATTGTTTTTGGTGGCCTAGTTGACTCAAATATCAATCAATAACAAAGTTTCTCTCCTACAAATCACTACCAACTATCAACAACGTTATTTATTATATATTTCTCTCTTATAAATCACTACTAACAAGGTCATTTTAGGCTATCTAAAGTTTTGATCATATATAATGAATAAATGACAGAAAAATCAAGGGATATTGCTAGAGGTTATACATATAGTACAAGTCCTCCCCTCCCCCATGTCCTAACCTTAAAATAATGAACAAACAAAGCTCATAAATAAAATGCTTATATGGACTAAAAAAAAAAGGATTTAAGAAGTAAAAGGAAGGATAATGAATCTATTTTATAAAATTTATTAGGCTTGTAGAATCACCAATAAGTATTCTACATGGAAGATCCTATTTCCCCTTACTTATAACATACAATCAATCATACAAGTAAACATTGAGTGTCCTAGGTATAAGGAGTTGGTTGGAATGAAAAAGAACTCAAGGGAAATTTGGACTTGTCAGAATAAATCCAATTAATGGCTTAGCAAGAAAATAAAGCTTATAAACATAAAATATCTCAATGCCATAACACCAAAGTGAGAACTTAACATTTCAAGATGAAGCATCTAATCTTGAGGAAGCTAAAAGCAATTAACAACCCTTACAAAAAAGAAAAACTAATACCACAATATGATAGCCCTTATAAAGCTATATCGTGTGATCAAGTAAGCACTTATAATCTTTTAGTCTGTATATAGACAAGGGTCAAATAAAAAAAATAAAAGGCTAAACATGTATTGACTAAGAGAATGGACATATGTTATTAGACTACATTTAAAATCTAAATATTTAGGCCTGTAAGTTAAGGTTTATAAGCTTGGGTTAAGGGTCAAATAAAAAAAATAAAAGGCTAGACATGTATTGACTAAGAAAATGGACTTGTGTTATTAGACTACATTTAAAATCCAAATATTTAGGCCTGTAAGTTAAGGTCTATAAGCTTGGGTTTTTTTTTAATTAAAAAAATAGATAATTTTTATTTTTTTAAGTGAATAGATAACATGTGATCTATTTACAACCTTTTTTTATCATTGAAAAACTATGGACTAATGTTTTGGATCATAAAAACCTATATTTCAACCATTTTTCCACCAAAAAACATAAAATAAACATTTCATGAACCTTTAAAACCCCGTTTTGAACGACAAAACACATTCTAATTAACATAAAAGCTCAAAATCAAATAAAAAACTTTCTAAGCTTTTATCTTTCTTTATTTTGGTGAAAATTTGATAATTAATAAAAAAATTCTTAATAATTTATTTAAAAATAATCTAATTATAAAATGTGAAAGGAAAAAAACAATCAAATAAAAAATTAAAAAGCTAGGTATGCATGGGCTAAAAGAATAGGCTTACATGCTTGGCCCATATTTAAAACTCATGTTGTCCATCCTTTAAGTGATGGAATGATGAATGATTCGTCTACAATCTTTAAACAAATAAAAATTAATCTTTAAACAAATAAAAATTAAACTATCATAATGTGTTTTTTAAACCACCTTTGGTGACCTGAAAAATTAAGGTCCAAGGTTTTACATCTCTAAAACTAAGACCTTTAATATTTTTTACCCAAAAACATGAAAAAAATCTTATGAATCTTTAAAATACAATCATGATCAACAAACACTTTCTAATAGCCTAAAAAATCAATATCAAATCAAATAAAACAACTTTTCATGCCTTGATATACCTTTTTGGGCATTATTGAAGATATAAACTATTTTCATTGAGTTTATCTTTTAAAACCGAATCCATAGACACCAAAATCAAAGTGATTAGTGGTTAGAACCCAAGCACCTGAGAACTTTCTTTCTCTTAATATTTCCTGACGACTTTCAAAACAAAAAATCCAATAACAGAAGGGACTGCACATGAAAAAAAATTAAGGGATCAAAGTGTATTTTTACATGTCTTTTTACAATACACATATGAAATAGATTGTTAATTTTTTCCAATGTGATTTTAATCTTTATTTTTAAAATTTTATTTTTTCATTGTAATTAAAATTTTAATAATGTAAATTTGATTTAATCCTGAAAGAAACCTTAACACATCAAAGACATGATAACATGCAATTCAATAAAATTTAAAAAATATTAGAAAATAAAAACATAATTTTAAGGACCAAATTGATAGAAAATAAAACCACAATGAAAAAAAAATCTAAAATTAAAAGGACCAATAAAGAAAATTTTCATAATGAACAATGTTATAAATAATGAAATGTGAAAGGATAACTTTGAGCAACACAACAAAATGTTGATTTTATTTAGTTTCTTTTTGGATTGATATGCATGAAAGTTGGTTGACAACATGCTCATTTCACCTTAAAACAATCCTCAATATATTGGATACATGAAACATGTAATCCAAAGAAAATAAAAAAAATCTATAATAACTACATCATAACTTTTAAAGATCAAATTGAAAGAAAATTCATTAACAAAATTGGAAAAAAAAATCTAAAACTTTATGGCCCAAGGAAGGAAATTTACATAGTAAATAATATTATAAATAGTGAAATGTGATAAGATAAGAAAAAACAATGCAGCAAAATATAATAATCTCCTTTAAATTCTATATTAATTAATTAAAGTGCACAAAATTTGATTGACATTTAGTTTCCATATATTTAAAGCCTCAATCATATTGTTATTGATACATTTTGAATTTATAAAATAATACTTTGTACTATCAAAAAATATTAAGATATCATAACATTCTATAATAATAAAATTATTTCTTCAAAATATTAGAAATCTAGAATAACAAATATTCAATTCATTGGACTTTTTTCTCAATATTTTAGGTTTGGGTTCTTGAAAATATTAGCCAAATATAATATAAAAAGGGCAAATTTATTTAACCCTTATTTTTAATTAACAAATGTTATTTTGATTCCTATTGTTTTTTTTTCTTATTTCATTTGAGAAAGATATTTATGTTGTTTCTATTTCTCAATATTTTAATATGATTCTAATCATTGAATTTCCAAGAGAACCTAAAAAAATACCATTCTATTTCTTTTTTTTTTTTTCTTTGGTTACATTTCAACCTAATGGAATTCACACATTTTAACTTTAACATATTTCCACCTTTTCTATCTGGAAATATAGTAACTTCTGCTATTAAATACATTTTAAAATTATATTTTGCTTGAAAAAAAATATTAAACTGATGTTTTTAGTTTTCTCTAATAATTTTAATGTGTTGGTGTAAAAAAATAAAAAATAAAAAATAAAAATCATTTAATATATTTTTTATAAGGAATACTTTAAAGAAATATGTAGGTGCTCGTCATAAGACATATATACTAAATTGACCGCATGAGAATTTTATATAAAGAGATCATTTATATCTGTTAAAAGGCTCATATGATAGTTGTGCAAGTGATCCTTAAACTTGAGATTATTAAGTTATCATATATAAAAATTGTTATATTTTGATTAT